AGGGGAAAGAGCTGGGGGTCAGGGAAGCCAAAGTAGGAGGAGTTGAGGTAGCCATGCACCACGGAGGTGACGGAGGGCTGGAAGGCTCCGGGGAAGTCAGCGATGGGTGGCTTGAAGTTCTCGAAGGTGAAGTTGCTCCTGTTGGGGTGCAGGGGAGTCGTCACAACCACCATGTCGTAGAAAGCCGAGCCTTGGCCTTCACTGCCCTCATAGTGCACCTGGTACAATGCTCTCCCCTCTAAAAAGAGATGGTGGACAGTTAAGGGTAGCCCTGAGCCCCAGGTGGTATTGCCCTGGCCCCCTCTTTTCTAGCATTGCCTCCATCCCATTTTTCCAGCACACAGCAGTGCTGGACCATAGCAACTGATGGTTATGGCGGAGCTGCTGATGCTGTAGGGCAGCAGAAAGAAGATTTTATCAAGCCTGTGGGAGAAAGTTTCCAGAAAAGCCCAGCCTAGAGGGGCAAGGAGGACTGGGGCAGCACAGCTCACCCCCCAACCCCTGGCTATCCAGCCCTTTGGCTGTGCTGGATGGGGAAGCAAGCCTCCAACAAGGATGGTGCCATAGAAGAGAGCTGAGGGACCTCAGGAGGGAGAGAGGGGAACCTCAGGGCCAAGGTCAGTACTTGTACAGACAAGGGGAGGAGATGGACAGACCCCCGGGCCCTCGCCCAAATGCTTTACCAGGACCAGGATGTTCTCCAGCCTCCCAATGCCCTCTCTGTGCCCTGTCATCCCCATGCTGCTACTACCAACCTCCCCCTCCCTGCTGCCCCCAGACCCATGCCCAGGCCGGCGGCACCCAGAGCAGACCCTGTGACCAGGCTCACCTGAGCTGTGCAGAGAGACACCGGTCACCCTGGCCGGGATGATGTTGGCTTTGGTCAGCTTCAGTAGACCTGAACATACCAGTTTGTTGCCTCCTTCCACTGCCCAGGTGCTGCCCTGGGACCCTGCTAGCAACATGGCTCCTGGAAAGAGGAAGAGGAGGGTGGCTCAACAGCCTGCCCATGGAGGGGATGCTGGGAAGGAGAGTCACACGGGGAGAAGAGGGGGTCCCCAGTTTCACCTGCAAAGGCGGGCACCAGCACTGACTGCCCGTAGCTGGAGCGCAGGACGGCCGCGATGACATCATCCACAAAGCGCTGCGTGACGCCCACCTCCAGCAAGGACTCGGCCACTGAGCGCTGTGTCATGTTGACGAAGGTGTCACCCCCCAGTGAGCGCAGCAGCTCCTCCAGGCTGGAGAATGCATAGCCGTGTGCCTGGTACTTGTAGATCCTGGAGGGGACAGGAGCACAGGGTGCCAGGTGATAACCTGGTGCTGGGGAAGTCCTCCCATGTCTCCCCAGCCCCGTGGGCTCTCCTACCTCATGAACTTCTCCATCACCTCCTCCACCCACATCTGCAAGCGCAGGAAGCTGATGCCATAGTGCCACCAGAGCCGGAAGAGGTTGAGCAGGTACCAGTCGGTCTCCTCCAGGACAAAGTGCTCCCCACTGAATATGGCACTCTTCCCCGCCACCTCGCGACGGTGCTTGAGGCCTGCAGGGAGCAGAGGGGCCCCGGCCCCACCGGGCTGGCACGCATCCCTGGGGCTGGCTAGCCGCTGGGGAAGGCCAGCGCCAAACACCGCCGCAGCAGGGATGCGGGCAAAGACGTTCATGGGAGAGCATCAAGGAGTCTGAGACCCAGGGGCACTGGGACCCAAGCCAGACCCTACATGTTGGGGCATCCCGTGGAGGTGACGTCCTGCTGGCTGGGACAAACCAGCGGGATTTTGTGGACCCCCTCCCACGCACTAATTCCACCAGGAGCCCTCGCCCTGATGCACTGCTGGGCTGCCCCCCTTCCCTTCTCTCCCAGGGCACAACAGGGCTAGGCACGGGGACAGCAAGCGGGTCGCTGCGTGCCCAGGGTGCCAAGGTGGACTGGCAGCAGCCCTCCCCACGACCCCACGGTGCAGCCCCTGGCTCAGGGAGGGAGGCCGTGCACGCGCGGGGGTGCCCACACTCACCAAGGATCTTGACGAAGTCCTGCATGTGGAGGCTGAGGGCGTGGATGGAGGCTCCCCTGCTCTCGTACTGCTGCTTGTTGACGGTGACGGTGGCCAGCCGGCCC